ATAGGCCTACATGTATATAAACCGATATAAACCTGCGGCGGAAACCCCTCTTGTCTGTCAGTGAGTGTGATTATTTTATAAAAGTAACGAAGTAACGCGTGTCGGGGCAATGTTAGTAACTGTAGTGTGATTACTGAATTATAAAAGTAACGCGTTACATTGCTCCGTTGCCGACAGAAATAATATTATTACAGTAACGCGTTACTGTAATAATATTACTTCTGTCTACTGACACCCAACTCTGGCAGAGACACAGAGAGAGTCTCTCCTCTTACCGTCAGCTCTTCAGAGGAGGACAGCGAGGGGCCGGCTTCTGATGAGGACGCAGATTCCGACAGGGGGCAGGAGAGGGAGGCCGAAAGAACTTTTTCAGATGAGTATTAATCCCACCTCCCACCCTCCTCTGTAGATTAGCATTTAGGGATGTCAGGAGCCGTCCATTAAGGGGGGGGTTCTGTCATAGTCTGCTCCATCATTCACCAGTAGTTTTCCATTCACCTGTCTCACCTGTTTTCCACACCCACTCGTTAGCTCACTCTCTTTCTCTTCTGCACCCATTAGCTTCTGCCAGTATTTAAACCCGCACCTTACACACACTCTTTGCCAGATTGTACTTTGCCTCATGCTTGTCTTTCCCGCGTTTGAAACTAGATTGCCTACCCGGTTCCGACCCTGCCTGTCCTCGATCTGCCTGCTCTGCCTGTTTCCTGATCCTGCCTGTCCCTCGACCATCCTGTCTGGCATGTTAAAAAGGTTGATGATATTCGCTCTTCTTTTTCTGACTCACCTTTACTCACCGCTGGGTCACCAGACCCTCCTTCCACCAACACACTTACCTCCTTTTCCCCTCTCTCTCCAAGTGAGGTTCTTACCCTCATTACCTCTGCCCGCCCTACCACCTGTCCTCTGGACCCTATCCCTTCAAACCTCCTTCAGACTATCGCTCCTGATATTCTACCGTTTCTCACCCATTTCATCAACACTTCTCTAACTTCTGGTCACTTTCCAAACAGTCTCAAGGAGGCAAGAGTAAACCCTCTCCTAAAGAAACCCACTCTCAACCCGTCTGATGTTATAAACTACAGGCCTGTCTCTCTCCTCCCGTTCCTGTCTAAATCACTTGAACGCGCTGTCTTTAAACAACTCTCCTGTTATCTCAATCAGAACAACCTTCTGGATCCGCACCAGTCTGGTTTCAAGGCAGGTCACTCCACAGAAACTGCTCTCATTGCTGTCACGGAGGAACTGCACACTGCCAAAACTGCATCCCTCTCCTCTGTCATCATCCTGTTGGAACTGTCTGCTGCATTCGACACGGTGAATCATCAGATCCTCCTTCGCACTCTCCAAAAACTTGGAGTTTCAGGCTCTGCACTTTCCCTCCTCACCTCATACCTGAAAGACCGTACCTACAGGGTGACTTGGAGAGGGTCTGAGTCCGACCCTTGTCAATTAACTACAGGGGTCCCTCAGGGCTCTGTTCTTGGTCCCCTCCTCTTCTCCCTGTACACAAACTCGCTCGGATCAGTCATTAGCCCGCATGGTTTTTCTTACCACTGCTACGCTGATGACACCCAATTAATTCTGTCCTTTCCCCGCTCAGAGACCCAGGTCGTTGCACGCATCTCTGCTTGTCTAGCTGACATCTCTCAGTGGATGTCTGCTCACCACCTCAAGCTCAACCTTGACAAGACTGAGCTGCTCTTCCTCCCGGGAAAAGATTGTCCCACCCTTGACCTAACAATCAACATCGGCACCTCAGTTGTTTCCCTGACTCAGACTGCAAGGAATCTGGGTGTGACCCTAGATAACAACCTGTCCTTCACTGCAAACATCGCTGCTACAACCCGTTGCTGCAGATACACGCTTTACAACATCAGGAAGATACGTCCCCAGCTGACTCAGAAAGCGACTCAGGTTCTGGTCCAGGCTCTCGTCATCTCACGCCTAGACTACTGCAACTCCCTCCTGGCTGGTCTACCTGCATGTGGCATCCGACCTCTGCAGCTCATCCAGAATGCAGCGGCTCATCTGGTCTTCAACCTTCCTAAATTCTCCCACACCACTCCGCTCCTCCGCTCCCTTCACTGGCTTCCGGTAACTGCTAGAATCCACTTCAAGACACTGGTACTTGCTTACCATGCTGCGAATGGATCTGGCCCTTCCTACATCCAGGACATGGTTAAACCGTACACCCCAGCGCGTGCACTACGCTCTGCATCAGCCAAACGACTCGTTGCGCCCTCGCTGCGAGGGGGACCCAAGTTCCCATCGGCGAAAACACGTGGGTTTGCTGTCCTGGCTCCAAGATGGTGGAATGAGCTCCCCATTGACATCAGGACGGCAGATAGCTTGCACATCTTCCGGCGCAAACTGAAAACTCATCTCTTTCGACTCCACTTCGAGCGTTAGAACTATTAACGAAGCACTTTTATACTAATAAAAGACTGGCTTACCTAAAGCCAGTTGAGTAGCACTTGAAATGTTTGGCTCTATGAAACCTGATGTACTTATATGATTCTGTTTTCTTCAAGGTTGTGTCTTCCTGGTCGAATGTACTTATTGTAAGTCGCTTTGGATAAAAGCGTCAGCTAAATGCAATGTAATGTAAATGTAATGTTATCCGACCCTGCCTGTATCTACGCTGACCGTCTCGCTTACTCCCTGACTCTCTGCCTGTCCCTGACTCACCTTCTGCCCGCTGTCCTCCGGTGCGTTAAACTACTCGGTTGGTATTCCTCAGATCCAGTGGAATCTCCAATAAAGTTTATTACCAATTCTCCTTGGTTTCTCGAGTGCTGCATTTGGGTTCTCCTTAAGATTGTGACACCGTGAGTTTCATGTATTTTCTTCACTCCGCTGGGAAACTGCTCTCATGTCAAGAAGCATCAGATCAGTGCATGCACTGCATCGTCCAATCAGTGAGCGATACACAGTAAGGGGCGAGTGTCTGAGGATTTCATCGAAGGATGGTCTGGTGGTTCCTCGGTTATAGCTCCTCCATTATCGCTCCTCGGTCCTCCGGCAAAGATAAGGCCATTGGGACGGTACTCAAGATGGCGCAGACAAATCAACTTCCGGTGAGACCGAGACCGAAGAGCGAGGAAATGAAAAATAAGAGAAGTGAGAAGGGCCCCGGGGATCGATAACGGAGGGGCGAAGGAACTACCAGACCATCCTCCGGTGAAATCCTCAGACACTCGCCCCGCCCCCTTACTGTATCGCTCACTGATAGACGATGGGTCCTTCTCACTTCGGTTAAATGGATTCCTTGCGTCCCTCACTTGCGTCGTTTCCCTACGTCTCTCCCACCAGGGAAGCATGGAGAGACGCAAGGAAACCACGAGAAGCAGGGAAATGAGTTTTAAGAGCAATGGGACGTCCTTTCCTCCGGAGCGTCACGTGAAGCGACGTCCGTTTGTGATGACGCTGCACAGCTGATCGTCTGACAGCAGCTTTGTCCCCGTTATTTCCACAAACACCCCCGCCTCTGTTAGTACACATTTACTGACACAAACATTTGTATCATCTGTTGTAGACCCAAATACATTAAATAAAATAAGAACTAATTCTCAAAAAAGATAAATGCCAATCTTAAAATGTATAAACGAACAATAGTTTGATTAATATTGATTAGAGTGCACAATAGAAATAAAATAATTGAGCGAAGAAAAAGAGATATATTATCTATCAAAACCCAGTTAGATTAACATTCATTGGATTGCACACTTTGTTTGTTTGGATATTAACAAATTAAAAATTTAAATAGCACTTAATGACTGACTGAATGGAAATGACAATAAATGAAAATGTAAAACGAAAAAAGCGATCATGAAAATGTTTCCAAAAAAGGAATAAAATGATTTTTGACCACTTTGTTGTTCAGATATATCACATATTTGTAACTAAATGATACATGAATTGAAACAAAACACGGTATAAACTGAGGAGTGAGTCCTGTGAGGTTCATGTATTTTCTTCACTCTGCTCTCATGTCAAGAAGCATCAGATCAGTGCATGCACTGCATCGTCCAATCAGTGAGCGATACACAGTAAGGGGCTGGGCGAGTGTCTGAGGATTTCATCGGAGGATGGTCTGGTGGTTCCTCGGTTATAGCTGCTCCTCCATTATCGCTCCTCGCTCCTCGATCCTCCGGCAAAAATAAGGCCATTGGGACGGTACTCAAGATGTCGCAGACAAATCAACTTCCGGTGAGACCGAGACCGAGGAGCGAGGAAATGAAAAATAAGAGAAGTGAGAAGGGCCCGATGCAGCGCATGCACTGATCTGGCTGCTGTCAGACAATCATCTGTGCAGCGTCATCACAAACGGACGTCGCTTCACCTACATTCCCTGGCAGTCAGTTTTCTGTATGGTTGTTTTCTGGTTTCCTTCAGATAACTCCACGCTCCGCCCCGTCTCGGGCACGTTCTCCTTTAACAATCATCCTGTGTTTTCTCTGTACATGTTCAGCGGAGGACTACACAAACAGAGCAAATGTGAAACAAAAACACAACAGAAGCAGTCATAGAGGAGGACACACTGGAGGTCACACTGAACACGTACAAACAGTCCTTTCATTTTGTCCTGGCTCCAAACCTTTGTAAAAAAATATCCATATCCAGACTTCACAGAAGGTAAAACATATCGATCACTTATCTCTTTGCTCTACGCAACTGTAAAACATCTCTGAAGGCATGTCGAATGTTAAAGAGGTCATGTGTCATATTTCTTTCAGCACTCACTGTCCTGTGCTGTAGCTACACTGGTACAGATCTTAAAAACACACATTATTAGCATTATCTCGAAATCACCGCCTTTCTGAAAGTGAATATTATTTCATCATAAACATAAAACCATATTTGTCTATAGTTCATTTAAAACAGGCTATCTATTCAAATGTGACTTACACCTTAAAAGGACACAGCACTTTGTAAAACATGTTATAATGTAAATAAACAGGGTTTGTCTTGATGATAAAGAGAAACTACTATTAAAATGATAATTGGACAATTTAAAATGAAAAACAAGGTTGAGGTGAACAAATATTTTGCAATCTAGCTGTAACTGTAATAGATAACATGATATAGTGTACCTCTATAAAGACATTACATTCCTGTGAGGTTTAAACTACACAAATCTATATTCGGCATCTTGAGAGCACTTTTTTTTATGTGTACAAGGATACACTTTTTTTGTAATTCCATTTAATATGTCACTGAAAATTAAATAGAATATTCAGCATGTTTGACTAGTTATATATTTTTGAGCATGTTCCTGGAATAAAAGTGTTCTGTAGATACTTCACCAAAGTGAAATCAAAGCGTCGCTTATCTTAACATTACCTGAAATTAATATATTCATCTGGAAAATGTGAATCAAACCCATCTTTAAATAATTTATATTAGGTGTTGGACCAAAATCAGTGCTTATAAATACGACCAGAGGGGAACTGCTGACCTCTGATCAATAAAAAGTCAACGTCAACCTGCACTACTCTACTATACTGTTAAAGATATCGCAAAAAAAAAAAAATCTACAGTCAAATAAATTAAATCTAATGAGAAAAAACGAGCTATTTGACTTCTTTACAGCTACTGAGAAAAGAAGGCTTCCTTTTTTAATGTGGCTCCATCACTTCTGTTCTGTCAGCCATTCAGAGGAGGTACGCTTGTAAACACACTATACACTGTATAGCTTAAATAAGACCACCATCTACCGCTGCTGGCTTCAAATAATCCTCGTTGAATTATCAGAGAGACGCACTGTGGGTTAAGATAATGTTTTTAGGCAGTGCAGACCCCTTTCTCTACAGCTAACTCACTTCTAAAGCAGACCACACTGCAGCAAACGCACCAGTACTACAAGTTAGCATTTGTCCCAGGTCTGATGACATATATTTCTATATATTTACAGTAATAATATATTTCACAAAGCTTGAGAACTAGAAAGTAAAAGCAATGAGAAATTCTACTTCCTCCTGCTTTTAAATCTCCACAGGGCAAGTGTTGAACTCATCAGGTACAGGTAGTGTTTGTGTTAAAAACAGATCTTTTCATTTGCTACTTTAACTACATAACATTCAGTCTAAAAAAAAGTAGCTTTCAGGCTGTACAGGTTAGTGAATAAGAAGCCGAAAGACAAACAGTGTTCCCTTGTGATGAGGAAACTAGATTGTTCCTTCCACTGTAATCCAGTCTGGGCTTCAGGTAAAGCAGCACCGTAGAGTCTCAAAACAACGTGGCAGTGCTAACAGGTTGTTACATGGGAAACTGAGAAGAAAATGTATCAAGGAGAAACATATCTGCAACTTTAGCACTTATTTTCTTTTGTGCAGTGTTTTCTCCTGTAGGCTTGTTTGAATACAATCATGTGACTGATTCCTTATAATACATCACTGCAGAACAGCAGATTAGAACAGCCATTTGTTTTACTCTACTGATAGCTAGTGAAGCACTGTCTCTTCATTTTTGGTTTCCACTCAACACGCAAAGCATTCTTCCAAAAAATAAACTTCTGGTATTTTTGAAACAATAGCTTACTCACTAGCTCAAAGGTCCTTCTTTAATGAGGTTACTATTAGGAGGAAAGATATCTTGTGATGGCACAACCGCAGATCGTTTCACAAACTTCTCGGCAGTTGACTAGCATCCAGAGTCCCACTTTTCCACAAATATGTTCAGGTTCTTCACCCTGTGTCCAACAGGATCATCGATTATTTGCCAAAATACCCACTTCCTGTTTGAAATACTGGGTGCTGGCAGTTAAAAGTGTATTTTCTATAATTTAAAAACAGCAGCAGGAACAAGAAACCTGACAAAGAGGCTCCCGTTGGACCTAACACACTTCTGGTTTAGGTCACGCTGCTATCATTAGCACTGACTTCACACACGTCTTCTTCACACACACTTCGACCCAACCCCAGAGCGGCAAACATCCCTGCGCCCTGACTCTGGGAGACCCCTAGTAGTGCCCCCGCGGCGGCCATATTGTTCACACCGTTGCTGCTGCTTCCTGTTGCTGGCGACAGAACACTGTTGGAAAAATGGTGAGAAGAAACCGACACGCCTCCTCTCCCTCCTCCCAGAACCCCGCCCTGTCCTCCCTCACCTGCAGACAGGAGGAGGTGAGGAGAGGACATCAGATTGTGCCCATCCTCCCCTTCCCCTCTTCTCCCTCCCTCGCCGCCCTCCCCCGCCCCGCCGCGCCTCTCGCAGTGTGAGCGGTGCCTCATGAAGCTGTCGCGCCACATGAACTTCTTTCCGCAGCCGAGGCAGTCGTACGGCTTGAGGCCCGTGTGCGTCTTCATGTGCTCCGTCAGGTGATGCTTCATCTTGAACTTCTTGGCACAGACGGGGCAGTGGAAGGGCCTCAGGTCCAGGTGCATGTTGATGTGGCGGTCCCTCATGCTCTTGTGGGTGAAGGTCTTACCGCAGTGGCACATAAACACTTTCCCAGAACCCCCAGTGGTGCTGTTACTGCCGCCACCTCCCATCCCCCCACAGTCCATGCCATCGACTCCTAGGCCGCCTTGCACTGACAAATGGACTGCGCCGTGCTCCAGACTGGGCCCTTTGAAAGAGGCTCCTCCCATCATACCGCCTGCCATCCCCAGGGGAGGGGGGGCCCCGTCCAGAGAGAGCCCGGAGGCCTGGCTGTAGAGGAGGATCTGGTTCCCCTGCATGTCCAGGGGGAAGAGCTGGGCCCGGGCCGAGGCTGCAGACTGGACCTGGCCCAGCAGCGCCGACACGGCTCGGTTAGCAATCTGGCTCTGACCCGCCGTGCTGTCATGGAGGTGCTGAGCCAGAGTCTGGTCCATTAAACTGCCTTCAAACTTGAGGTAGTCCTCTGAAGACTGGCAGTAGTCCACCTGGGGACACAAGGAGAACGGGGAGTTGAATCTGTCTAAATGCTTAGATTTTGCATGTTTCAAACTTAGACTCAGAATTAATCTCCAGTGTTTAAAAGACTTCTCTAACACCTGCACGTTGGACACTCAGTGCAGGGCAAGTCTTATATGCTGCATTTATCCATAAAGGTTTATAAAAAATAAAGTTCAGATGCAGAGAGAAGCTGTTTTAACCTCTTTGTGTGCAATTTGAAACGTTGGCGCCCCTTAATGGTGGCAAATGAACCCCCAACATTTTTTTTACAAATAGAAATGGAATCACTTGATAAATCTCTTCACAATGTGCCTTTAGAGTGACTTCAGCTCACCTGTGAGTCCATGTCGCTCTCTGCTCTGGCTGGCAGGTCGGCTGAAAGGCTCCTAACGTTGGAGATGTTGAAGTTGCTTCTCTCCCTCTCTCGGGCCAGCTCCATCTCCCTCTCCTCCTCGTCCTCCTCGTCTTCTCCCCCCTCCTCCCCGGACACCACGATGAGGTCGTCGTCCTCCATGCGTTCGGTCTTCACCACCACCCACTGTTTACGAGGCATGATGCTGGGCTGGCTATAGGCAGGACGCCTCAGCAGGTGATCCCCGTCCTGTCAGAGATAATGCTCGTTATAAACAGTTAGGGAAAGCTAGTCATGTTGTCAATGAAAACCTTGCATTATTATCATTTACAATCAAAAGGATGAGGGAAAAGATGCTTGACTAACATGGACTTTTGAGTCTTCCAAAAGTGTTTCATAGAATTTACAGTTTTCGTTTTTTAAAAAGGACCCTAATCCCATTTTAATAATTATAAATAACAATGCTACATTTGGTTAAGACCAATATTAAAAGGAGAGCTCCCGATGGCCCTTAAATCATTTTTGCAATAGTACAATTAACATCAAAATTATTTAAAAAATACATACGATATTTTCTAGATACCATCTTTTTAAAAAATGTTTTTAATGGGACAATAAAACATGCTCAATAAAATAAAACCATGTTCCTCTTTAGATATTGCTCCATGACTGTGGGTCCAAAACAAATAGGGATGCACGATAATTATCGGCTCGATAATTATCGGTCCGATATTAGGAATTATGACGTCATCCCGATAAACCCGATACCAGTATTAATAGCCCCGATAATATACAATATATTTTTTGGGTAAAAAAAAAGAAAAAAATACTGCGGTGTGGGTGGATTGGGATGAGGGGCGCTTGTTTTTCACTCGGCTCCTCCCGTTTTGCCAGTACTGTGGTATTAGTGGTTTAGGAAGAGGGGAGTTTTTCACAAATCCAGCGCTCCCTAACTCATGCCTGGCTGTGACGTAAATGGTGTGCGGCCGTGAAGCCAGGACAGTAAACAAACATGGCGTTGGAGCTATGTGCAACTCAAGGCATATGCTCGAACCGGAGCTGCCTGGACGCTATCATGTTGCGCACTATCCGTGCTGAGTGTGCTGACTTTTCGTACAATGTCCCACTGTCTGGCTTCCTGCATAAAGTCAAGTGCTCGGCGCAGTTGTGGCGAAATGTCGCTCCTCTGTTTTCATTTAAACAGCTCCGTATATCCGTTAGCGCAGCTAGCTAGCACCAGATGCTAACAACAACAATGCACGTAAGGTCTCTCTCTCGCTCGCTCGGGCCACACATACACACACCCTCCCGGTCCTCCAGATGGCCAGTCAGTGCCTGCCGGTGAGCGTGGAAGTGTGGTCTGCCACATGCGGGCGACAGGAGCGGGGCTGTCAGCATCAGCTTGTAGATGGTATTTTTTACACATGCGTTAATCGCGTTAAAATAATTAGTGGCGTACATTTTTTTTTATTATCGGTATCGGTCTTGAGAAGCAGGAAGTTATCGGTTTCAAAAAACCAATATCGTGCATCCCTAAAAACAAACCATATTCATCTGTTCAACAAAGATGAAAATACTGTTTATCAACATCAACTGTTGACAGACAAAATGTTAAAGGTCAAAGTATTACTTTTTTATGTCTTTTATACACAAAAATGTCCCCCCAGTGTGTTAAGGGATTCGCTTAGTGTCAGGAAAAAAGATTGTCTCTTTTTATCCTGATCCACCTGTTTATAAAACCTGTCTGAAAATGAGCTAATCAGGTTTGGCCCTATGGTTTGGCCACGTTGTGACATCACAACTGTTTTTTTGTATTTGGCAACCATTAGCCAATAGCCAATAACCAAACGGTAACACCCGCCCACCTTAGCCACGTTCACACCAAGTACTTTGCCGTACTTAGTTCCCAGCACTTAGTTCCCCTACGGAACGAGCCGATCGCGTTCACACCGGAATACTTTTCCCTGAGGGAAGATTACGCAAATGAGCAGAGTAGAAGTAGTGTAGAAGCTGCTGGGACTCCCAGCAGCTTCTACTGAAGCCTTCCGAATAAATCGCCAGAACGCCGACACCTCCACCGCTCCCATGTTTTCTTTTGTGTTGCCATAAGTTAGTCTCTCTGCGTTTGTGCGCTGGGCGAATGCTAATGCTAATAATGCTAATGCGAGGATAATAAAATGGCGGCTCTACAAAACATTTCAGAGTTTTACGGGGCGTGGTTTGCAATTAAAAACTAAAAATGGGGGTAAAAGTTCCCGGCACTAAGTACTCTTTTTGGTGTGAACGCGACATAAGAGGTACTAACGGAACTAAACGGGAAAAGTACTCCTATTATTCTTTCACAGACACATACGGGTATTGGGCCGAGCGCGACACCGTACTTCCGGTATCCGCTGTTTTACGCGAGGTGCAAGCAGCCGTACACCGTCTAGGTGTTGCTGAGCTTCCTGTACTGAATATCATAGTCTATCTATTGCCTTAATCAATATCTAGTCAACTCTAAAATACCACATATATGTAATGGCATGATAATATTATTGTGACAAGTGGGGTATTCACCTGGTGTTTCCAGAAATTAGACGTAGATGCAGCCAAAATCGACGAAGGCCACTGTCGTTTTTCCATACATCTGCAGGCAGTCTGTAAAGGCAATCCGACAACCCACACAGCTCTAATTTACGCTGGTAACGACCTAAAGCACACCGCTCAAGTCCAGAGATGTAATCCGAAGACATGCAGCGATTTCTTCGGTCGTTAATTCAGAAAAAAAACCTACTGCGCTCTGCCTGGCTACGTTAGCTAGCTGTTTATATTTGCACTTCCAGGATATTAGCACCTCCAGGAAAATGGCGTATTTATATATATATATATGGCGTGTGTTGCATTGTGGGTAGCTCGTGATGTCACTGTGTGTGAAAGAATCACCTGAATCTCCTCCAAGAGCACCAATATATTTTTTTAACCAATCACTTTCCAAAGGGGCGTGTCCAGCAGCTCATTAGCATTTATAGCAACAGATACAGAATCAGCACTTTTGAAACAGGGTGGTTGAAACAGAGGGGCATGCTACGATGCATGATCTGTATCGAGGCAAACACTTCAGAGACATGTCTTGTATGTATCTCAGACCTATAATATTGTTGAAAAAGAGTATAAGGGACCTTTAAAAGTCAAGTCCTATGAAAGCGCCCCCCAAATAAAATGTATTATTACTATTATTATTAAGTCCATTTTTTTTAAACTGCTGAAGACTGAAAATATGACTTCCTTTTTTTCCAAAATAAGAGCTTTCCAGATAAACTTCAAGGGGCCTCACCTGATAGGAAGACACGCCAAAGCTGTCACTGACCCCGACCTCCTGCTCCGACGCTGAGCTCATCTTCTTCCTCCTCCCGCTGCCTCCTCCTCTTCCTCTCTTCCTTTGGTGGTACATCACCTCCTCCTCTTCATCCTCTAAGTCATCCTCCTCTTCCTCAATAAGGAAGGCTTCCTCTCCTCCTGATGGGGTGCAGTAGCTGGGGGTGTTGCTGGCCCCGCCTCGTTCAGCTGAGGCCCTGGCTGCGGCTGCCCCGCCCCCGTCTCTGGGGCTGAAGTAGTTGGTGCTGCTGGGGGACTGACTCTCACTCACTGAAGGGCGGCTGGGCGGGAGGGAGGCACGCTGCGGCTCTTTGGACCCCACCACCTGGGGGACTCCATCGCCCACGCCACCATCACTACCAGCTCTGTTACCCCCGCCTGCCATACCCTCACCATTGCTGCTGCTGCTGCATCCGAGGTTAGCGAACCCTCCACCTCCTCCTCCAACACTGACCCCGTCCAGCACACCTCCTCCTCCTCCTCCTCCTGCACCCCCTCCTCCCCCTCCGCCCGCTGCTGCCCGGCCCTCCCTCAGCAGCTCGGTGCATTTGTCCACGATGTGCCACATCTGCAGGACGCTGCCCACCGTCAGGTAGTTGACGATGTCGTCGCGCAGCATGCGGAGCTCCCCGGTGTAGGCGCAGCTCAGAACGCTCTCAAATGCCAGCGGGTCCATCACTGCCGGGATGGAGACTGTGGACATGTTCTTCAGGAGCACCTGGTGGTGGGGGGGGATACATCACAATACTTTAAAGGGGCCCCATTGTGCTTTTTAGGGTTTTCCTTTCCTGAAGTGCGTTATCTAGATATTTGTGAATGTAAATTATCTGCAAAGACTAAAATCCTAAAGATCCTTTAGAGAGTTTCTCTCCCCCCCCTGCCTGAAACGCCTCCATTGGACTTCTTTGTTTACTTCCGTTACATAATTACATCAATATGTAACATCCAGTTCTATTGGCTAGCACTCCAACACATTTTACGTGATAGGCTAAGGGGCATCTCTAAGCGGCTGACCAATCCCAACAGAGCCAGCCAGCTAACCAATCAGAGCAGACTGGGCTCTGATTGGTTGAAGAGGGTGAAAAGAGGTGCTGCAGCACAGGCAGTATGAGAAAAATCAAGAGCTTTTTGAGCATTAAAGCATGGAGACATGTCACAGTGGAAGCACACAATACAAATATGAACCTGGCAATGAGGATGATAGGTCCCTTTAATTAATTTGTGTAGGGTTTGTCCTGCCTCTCCCACACCTCCTCCCAACAGCTTACTTCTCCAATTTCTTCTTTTTAGAGTTATTGTGATGGGAAATGAATCCTTTCTAATTGATGTTATTTATATAATCAGGAGAACATGATTTTCAGCTATGCTGTCAACTTAAGAAAAGCCATGCCACATATAGCAGGCTCTATTAGAGTATGGCCCATATGGCTTTACAAAACAAATCTCTTTAATGTCAAATGTTTCTTGCACCACTACTTTCAATGTGCATGCATCACATGGAGTTCTTCAGGCTGTTTCTGAATGACCATTTGTTTAATGATTAATTATTGAATTCTTGGCAACATTAAGCATTTAATCTTAACCGACATTCTATTTAATTAAGTGTCTGTTCCTTTAATTGTTTCTATAAATGGTTTTTGAGCAGCATGTCCTGTTATAAACGTTCCCAGTACAGTATATCCAAAAAGACTAATCAAGTCAAATATTTCCCTTTGAATCATTAGTCATATCAATTTTCTTTGAATCCTTCTATGCTAAATCAGGCTAAACCAAACTGCCAGTATGTATACATGCTTAGAAACAGGGAGGATGCATGCCTTTGAATCTCATTATTTGGCACATTTCCTACATGGTGCAGATCAGAAATGAATGAGTATGACTCCATGTAGCTTTGATGTGTTTATTCTGACCAGAAATCATCAGCAACTTAATCTCCCACCTGGTCATGGAAGTATGGTGAGGAGGCGGCCAGCACGCAGCGGTGGGCTTTGAACACGTGCCCCTGGACGTGGATGGAGAGGTCACAGAGCTGGCCGTCCTCTCTCTGCTGGTTCAGGCTGCCCAGCACCGAGCCCTGAGTGCTGGGGAAGCACACCTGCACCACCGGGCCAGATGTGTCTCTGGGGGCGGAGCTGCTGCTGCTGCCCACCTCCACGGGCAGGGACTGCATCTGGGGGGCAGGAACACTGTCATGACTGCCAGTTTAAACTCGTTATTTGGATTTGGTTTGATTATTTCCTTTTCTTTTTTTTTTTACTGCTGGACAGTTTATACTATTATCTTGATAATACTATAGGCTTGATGTCAGGATGCGAGATTAAAAAGATGTCAAATTGATCAGAGGACTTTCTAAAAATCCAGATATGTGTGAATAACCTGTGTAAATGTCATATGACTGCCATTCTCAACCCATTTTCATTTAAACCCAGAATTGATAAAGCGAGATACTCACAATCTATTTGGTAGTTTTGAATTGAACTAGTGTGATATGAAGAAAAAACAATCCTACAATGAAATATGCATTCATTACAGTGAGAATATTCAATATTTATTAAAATAATAAATATGATAATAATGATTTTCCTTAGTGTTTGATCGATCTAGTAATAGTTTATTCTATAGAAAATCTGAAAACATAAACATTTCTGACTTAGATTCACGCAGATGAAAGGAGCATCTTGTAACAATGTCTTGTTTTGTCGGACTGACAGTCCAAAACATAAAAGTATTTTAGTATAAAATGATATAAAACATGACTAGAAAATGACTCGAAACATATCATTAATTAATCTTCAATAACTGCTGATTAATGTTCTGTCAATCCACTGCTTGTTGTTAAACTAGTTTCTGGTGCTGTTAAATAAATTACATATTCAAGTCTTTTAATACAACTTTCTCCTTGAAATATTGGAGTGGACAAAAAGAAACAACAGTATAAATAATGCAAATTATTCAACACTTCCACAATCTGTATATTCTAAAATGACTTAAATTGAATTAACACCATTCTACAAATCGTTATGTCACAACTGTTGAATTACAGTGCCCTAATGTAGCTTGCAACTGGTGGTCGGTTAAACCAACCTATCACCCACTATATTGGGCTATACAAATAAACATTGACCTATAAGTAAAAAAGTATTTACTTACTTTAACACTCAGATACAAGCCCATTGGTAAAGTCAACAAATACAGAAGTTGCCCTTTTGAGCAAACATAAGGCAGTAATCCTAATCTAAACACTTAAATGCTAACAATTACCCTTCAAATTGATTGCTCAAAATGCCCACATTCAGTTTATTATCTAATACTCAGCATTATTTCTCAACCTGACCTAACCAAAAGGACTCCCAGATTAGTTCTGCAGTTAAGAGTGTCATCCTTGATCACATCATTTGTAGCAGAGATTTGAAATGCAGAGTAGACAGTGGCCAATCAAGGAAGCCTCATAATTTACCCAGAGTACACTGCAAATGAGTCCTACTTGAGACAGAAGAAGTGCAGCCCTAACCTTAAGTGTCAATTTGAAGTGTCTTTGTTAAAACTCAGAAACAGAGTGCTGCACAAAGACTTGCTGCACATTGTGTTTATTAGCAGCTTAGTTATATATGCATTTGTATTGTATGGCATGCAATGTCATGTGTGGGTTAAATCAGGCAGCACCATTGTAGACTTGAACTGATTGCACTTTGAGAACACAATGACAATTATAAAAAAAACTCAGATCAACAGTGTCATTATGTACTTCACAGAGAACAAGAACACATCACGTGATTCATTACTGAACAGAACTGCCCACATCACATACATGACCCACACGCCACTTTGTTATTGTGATATTTTTAGTTCATGGGGAAATCAACAGCTGGAGTAAAAAAACAACACTTTTTTAGTAACGGACAAGCTACAGAAGAAGAGCTGTGGGTCTGAAATGAAAGCTGGCTTTGCTGTGGAAATGTTAGTCTGCTGGCTGTGTCTCCAGACAGCAGACTAACAGTTGCACTCTTATCATACAGATGTGACGTTAGCCTGCTAGCTAGCAGGCGGCTGGCTACAGAAAACATGAGCCGCAGCGGACATTAAACTCACCGTTTCTAGTTGACACTGCCGCCTTCAGAAGTAGTCTCTGTCCGAGCGGACGGCAGGGTGTCCTGCCGGTTTATCCAGGCCCTGAAGTTTGGGGACCATTTTTATAAAATGTTCTTCCCATCTGAGCTCTCCTGCAGCGGCTGACAGACAGCGACGCGTCGCCTTTAAAAGGATTCCAGACAGACGAGCCAGACTTCGGCCGACAGAAAATACATCCAATAACAATGGAAAATAAACATTGGAATACAGCGTTAAAGTGTAAAACAATAATGGAAGAAAGCTAAAGATTATTTAGAATAGTGAGTAAAAACTGTAATGTGATGAATATACCCACAATGCCAATATGCTGTAAATATGCACATTTCATTTCCATATTTGTTCCATCTACTGTTAAAAATTACAAACATACAAGAAATAATGTAACGTAAAGTATTTAACTAAAGTGCATCTATGAAGTCAAAAAACGGCATTGGTCATGACAAACTTCTCTTAAACCTATTCATTTTGTGATTCAGAGTTGGGTAAGCACTAGCCAAAAGGCAACCAGCAAGAGGACCTCCATGTCATAGTTAAATTATACTAAAGTCAGTCAAAACAAAGTAATAGGGTCAAAAACACTGGAGGTTTAGATAAATAGTTTCAGTTGTGTTGACAAAAATGCATTGACATGCTCTATGTTTGAGAAACAATTTGCAAAGATTAGTTTGGAATGAACACGCACAGGAAATAAAAAAGGTGTCTTTATTAGATCATGTGGATAAAATGGAAAAAGAGATAGAAATCCACAATGTCACCAAAATCAAAAATGACAGTATTGGTTTGACACATTTATTAATTATTATTTGTGCAAGTTATAAGAGCAGCTCCACATATAAACGGGAAAAAAGAATATAGGTTATTTATGTCCATAAAAAAAAAATCACCATCTAAAAACATGCGTATGTACACATGTGAACAATGTTTAAGCATAGAAAACAATTATAAATATTTCATTCTGGGAACATAATGGTTAAAATATAAGAAAATAACTGTTTGTTTTTTTAAGCGTTTTGGTCTATTTTTTGTTGGCACTTGCAGTTCCGATTACACAGTCGTTCACCTGCGAAGAGAGAGAATGCAACAAAATAAATCACATGTCGAAAATCACAGTCGCAGTTATGACACAATTATAAAACATCTATAATATAACATAAGTGTTCCATGTGAAGTAATGACAGCCAAATAAAAAACTCCATACAGAATAACTAAAAGCATTTTTATTTGCAAAAGACTACCTGTATACTTTTTATATATAAAGTATTTATTTGATCCTCTTTTCTTATCCCTTTTGATTTTTACATTTGTCCCATTTAATCAGTTCATTTCTCTCTTTATATTACAATACTTTACTTGCTTTTATTTTTGTCTCTTTGTATTCCCACACTTTTATTGACTTATTTCACGTAAAATATCCCCATTTTTATTTACTCGTTTAATAACTTCACTTTAATTTCCACATTTGTTTCCCTTTTCTTTTCATGGTTACAAATGAGTAATTTTGTTAAAACAGCATTTCTTTCAAAAATATTCAAAAAAAAGCTGCGATACATTTTGGTCTATTCAAGAACTACTGTATTTTCATTTATCTTTAACAAACAATTATCAAATAACTTGGAGAACATGCTGATGACAAAACCATATAAGACAACATAGGTTCCTCAGAACATTTCTTACATACCCTAAAAAATGTATTTGATCTAGAGTTACACGTCAGAGCATTAATATAGTGAAGTTGTGCATTAAGACATTAACCAGCCATATCTGACCCGTACCTTGCTGGCAAACCTCAGCGAGTTGAGCGTTTCCCCAAAGCTGTCCAGCTCTGGGGAAATGTTCACAAACATCAAGCTGAGATGAGAAAAAGACAAAAAACATTGTTAGAATAAAATAACTCATAATGGACTCCTTTCCGATTTTAAAACCAGCAAACCATTACCAAAGATGATAAAGTCAATTATTCTGCTCAGCCAAGCTAGCTCATGATTCTGATAAAACCTCTAAATGTTGACAAGTGATAGCAGAGAGAAGTCTACTGCCTAGAGCTTGAGTGACACAACCAAACAGACAGCTGGGGACTTGAAGCTATTCTGTTGAAACACCCACGTTTTGCTGTTCCCTCCCAAGCAGCCCTGCAGGAGGTACGTCAGCTTGGAGTTCCTGTATGGCACGTGAATGTCCTGGAACACAAACAGAATGAATGGATGTCACAGGCAGAATGGATACTGAATGGTAGAATTTAGATGTAGGGTCTAAATCAGGGCTCTCCAACACGTCGGGCAGCTTTTCAGTAGCTCGCCGCTCGATTATCGATTATAGCGTAGTAAGGTTGCTTCTTGATTTTTCAGCCGCGGCTGGATAATAACGGTTTTTTATTTTAGAATTGTTTCTGTCACACGAATATAAAATTGGTCGGTGACGCAGAGATCAAGGAACAGACGTGGCAGCGGCACAGCGACACCACACACGGAGCAGTCAGTCCAGAACCAACAGCAGAATGACCCGCTCTGAATCAGGCCGTGTCGCTGCGGCTCAGAGACACACAGGGAGGGATTTGTGTTTTTTGAAAAACACTCGTTATCGTCATGTCAGGTTTTTGGTGGATTTAATCAAGTCTTGGATTGCAAGCCATTTTCAGTTGATAAATACTTGTGTGAAGTTTGTGAAGGCAGGAGGAAAGCTTCCGCGATCACCGTCTCCTCTCCGTTCCTCCAAACCCCGCCCTGAAAATAATGAGTGACAGGCTGATAGTGACCCGATAGAAACTTTATTATTCACTTAATCACTGATTGAGATGATGAAGCTAACTTAATCTCATACATTCATGGGATTAATGTAACAGTAAGACAGAGAATGTGAGTGTGCACCCACATGCACTATTTTTGTTTTTATAATGCTGTTGTCTGCTGTGTTCAGACTCAAGTCATGTTAGTGATGCCACATTCAGGACATTCAGTATCCTTTTTTTAACAGAAGACCGTAGCTAGAAGCTAGACTGCAGAAGTATTAGTTTTTGAAGATGGAACAATTTCACACAGATATAGGGAGGCTAGACCTATACACAGGGCTGCACATAACTGGTGCGCATGCGCACCTCCGCCAAAAAAAAGAGCACCGGTTCATTTGAAACAAAGCGCATTTGCGTACCAACATTGAGAGAGGGAGAGAGAGAAAAGAGAACAGAGAAAATAGAGGAGAGAGAGCGAGAGAGAAATATATTTGCGAGTTGCATATGAACCATGATATGAACTCAGGGCCGGCCCGTAGCGCTGGCTAGATGTTCGCCTAGGGCCTCCAGATCTGTGGAGGCGCTGCGCTGGCAGTTCTGGGAGGGAAGAAAACATTTTGACCGTTGGGGCTCATCCTAATTTTCGGCCTTGATGTAACAATATTAATAATTAAGTAAATGTAACACCCTTTTCACCCCGGTTACACGTTTAATTTGCCCTGTACGATGGGCGCTGTAAGTGATGAAAATGGGGGATGTTGGCTTATCTGGCGCCCGCAGCTCACAGCCAAAATGCGAGTGAGCGAGGGAGAGAGGGAGGGTGCACCGGTACCAGCGCTGTTGTTATTAGCATCTGGTGCACTGCTAGCTGCTCTAACGGATATAAGAAGAAGATGTTTCTACAATAATGTGGAGGGAGAGTCCTCTCCAGTCAGACTGAGAGGCTGATAACTACAGCTCAGTGAGGTAAAGGACTCAGAGTGTTTAGATAGTTCACTTAGTCTAAGTTCAAACGGTTTGGTCACAATTTATGTAAACACATATTTCCAAGGCACTCCTTTATAATTATTGGGATAAACAGGTTTGAGATCATTCCAATGTATACTATAGGACAGTAACCAAAAATATCCTTTAAAACTGGAGAGATACAAAAAATGCATAAATAAATGTTAAGGTAAAATAAGATATGAATGAACAACACAAATAAAATAAGTTACATTCATTTGTTATTGGCTATGGTAGGTTATTGGTTATGTTCACATACTTATTTGATTACATCCACTTGTCTGAGATGACAACAGAGACTTTCGACCCAAACCCAGCTGTTGACTTGTGGATGCAAGCAGCTACAGTAATCACAGACTCAACCAGAGAGAAAGTAGTAGGCCTACATCATCAGCTACCATGTCTGACAGAGAGGAAGACAGTGAGGAGAACAGTCAGGAGGGTAGTGATGACAGTTTGTAGGATTACTGCTCGTGCTAATGTTGTCTTGTGTTCACCTCTGTCTGCACGTGTGTTCTGTGTGCACCTCTGCATGTGTGTTCTGTGTGCACCTCTGCATGTGTGTTCTGTGTTCACCTCTGCATGTGTGTTCAGTGCCGTGTGTCTGGCAAATAAAGTCAAGACCCCTCAAAAGTTACGGTTTATTTCATTTTAAGGATGAGCACCAAGCAACATCTCCAGGTGCTCCTTTGAGAACCAGGGCAAAAAAGTTATGTGCACCCCTGCATATACAGTTGATTTATTATGGTTTATAATTGCATGTCAAGATGAAGAAGATGAAAAAGATGGCTGAACTTTTCAGTGTCAATCCTGTGGAGATGGAGGTTATAAATCTCCAAAATCATGTTCAGCTTAAGTCTCAGCAAAACTCACAACATTTCTGGAGCCTTGTAGACCCAGAAAACTATAAGAACATCACCAAGCAGCACTGAACACGTCTGCTTTATTTGGTTCTGTTCTACAGACCTTTGTGAAGCAGCTTTTTCTGGCATGAATATCATGAAATCTAAATACAGAACAAGGCTGACTGATGGACATTTAAGTGACTCTATTAGAGTGAACCTAAGTGCACTCTAGCAGACCCCTCTATGGTGGACTCCATGCAGTGCCATTCATCTCACTGACTGTCAAAAAGAGTGAATGCACTTATTTGACCATAAGTGCACGATGCTTGTCAGGTGGTGATTAAGGACATTTATGTGAATTCTCAGTGAAGTACTCACTATGTGGGCCATAATAATATGAGAGACATTTTCGTTTTCTTGGACCTTGATGTGAAGTTAAGATTTGTGATAAGCTTTAAGTATTGCAATTTCACATGTGTACAAAAGTATAGCTTAATTCAACTGATGAGGGCTATGTGAATAAGTAAGCGATGTGATGCAAGTAGCTCTTGGCCACTTTCATTTTTTCAAAG